TCAGCTTACCTAACCCTGAGGAGCCCGTGAGGCCAGCACACGTTGCACTCTGTTATCTTACCTCGGGAGTGGAATGTGTTTTCATATGCAGTTCTGAAAAAAACATTTTTTGTTTTGGGAATAAATATGAGCTGGAGAGAAGAACTGATGTTTCCTTAAGAATTTTCCCGCAGCAAAATTTGGAACATGCAAGAAACTTCCAGTAGGAAGTTTGCCCCAAGGCTCCACACTGTCTTCCATGTGGAAGACAGCACGGCTGGCTTGCCATCGGCTTTACAGATTTAGGTGTGGGAAAAGCCATGCACGTATTATCTGATTATACCTATTACTGTTCCGAGGCTCAGCGGCTCTGCAGGGAGGGTGTTAGTTATATAAACGACACGGCCTTTGTCTTCAGCACTGCAAGGCGAAGCCGAATCGGTCGGTGGTTCTTAATGCTAAAAGGTGGTGCTCAGAAGTGTGAGCGGTGGTTGCCCACACCAGTGCCCCTAATACATCCCTTCTCTCACGTCTAGGCCAGCTGGTCCTCAAGCTGTTGTCTGCGCTAGTGGTCATTTGCTTATAATCATTGTTCCTCCTTTCTTGACTTCCTTCAAAGTGGCAAAGTGAAAGTCCTCATGTGGTCCTGTCTGCCCTCCCTTTTCTAGTCTGCCCCTCCTGCCCATCCAACCCTCAGGCCAGGGCTGCAGAGGGCAGGCTCGTGCCCCTATCACTGTGCCTCTTATTGCAGAGCCGAGGATTGTCACCAGCGAAGAGGTCATTATTCGAGATGGCTCTGGTCTCCCTGTCACCCTGCAGTGTAACCTTACCTCCAGCTCTCACACCCTCACGTTCAGCTACTGGACCAAGAACGGTGTAGAACTGTCTGCCACTCGGAAGAATGCCAGCAACATGGAGTACAGGTGAGAAGGCCTGGCAGCTTTGGGGAGGTGGGACGGGGTGTGGCTGAGCTTTCTTGACATTCCTGGTCCACGGGTGTGCTATGGGAGAGGGGTACGGGATGTCTTTGGTCCTCCCCTGGACAGTAATCCAGTATGCCTGGGTTGAGGCCCAAAAATCTAGAAAAGATTCCCAAATGATTCTGATGACCAGACAGGTTTCAGAGCCGTAGATGGTCTGCTCCCTGCGATAACAGAAAAACCAAGGGCACGAGGAGGCAATTAATTAGCTCAGTGTGACGGCGCTGGTCAACAGGAGAGTTACCGTTAGGATGCCGGGACCCTTGACTTAGTCTGGGTTTGGAAAGTCAGACTACAGTCTGCTCAGGCTCTTAGAGCAGGATCTTCCTCGGTGACCTCCCCATGGCTGGGTTTGTGTGTGCACTTCAGGAGGGTTTGCTGCCACCATCGCCTTCCCTGGACCAGCGTGTGTGGGCTCTTGAGTGGTTTGAGGGTGTTACCCTGGAAGTGCCCTTTGAAGAAAGGAAGGGGATCTGCTGATACCCAGATGTTGGAGCTCTTGGACATAGCTAGGACATGCGGCACCTCATCTTTCAGAGGGGTTTGCTCCTGGATGAAAACTGATTTGGAAAAGGGTTAGAAAAGGGTCAGCTAATCCTGCTTGGCGGGCTGATGGGCATGAGCAGAGAGCGGTGGAGCAAGCGCAGGACAGCCCGTGGCCCAGTAGTGGCAGGACCTTGTGCGGTGTGGTATGGGGGCGGAGTCGTCCCCCGGCATGGGTAACCGCTCTGCTGTGTTTGCAGGTCCTCCTCAGCTCAGGCAAGGAAACTAAGACGCCAGGGGTACCTCTTGGCTGCTATCAGGGCTTTCTGCTGTTAGTCTGCCTGGCTCCACTACAGTGTCTTCCGGTGTAAAATTAGAATGATGGCCTCATGGTGTGTCCTCATAGTTGGGAAGGTTTAATCAAAATGAAATACTAGGGTGGCTTGAAAAGCATTTCCTCTTTTTTTTTTTTTTTTTTTTTAAAGAGAGATTTTTGCTATAGGTCACGGGCACTCACTGGAGAGACAGAGATCAAAGAGAGAAATCACCCCGCAGGGAGGATAGCCACGCCACAATCCCTTTTCCTTCACTTTCCTCTTGGGATCTTGGGCACGCATGCACATGCACCTGAGTGAGTTTTAAACTGCCAGTTCTGAGACTCAAACTGCAGCTGACTACATGGGAGTCCAGTGATGTAACCATTATGCTGTCTGCTAGTCCCAAGGCATTTATTCTTGACCTATCCATTATTTTTACCAGTTGTTGTTGTTGTTTTAATTAAGGGTTTTGTCATAGAAATGTATTTGCGGCGGGGGGGGGGGGGGAAAGTCAGAAAGCACACCTCAGGAGTGATGGCCACACTGCAATCTCTTTTCTTAGGATTTTGGGCATGCACACACATGCACCTGGCATGATTTTCAAGCCACCGGCTCTAGGACTTGAACCTGTGGTTGGCCACGTGGGGGTCCAGCTCCTTAAACACTGTACTAGCTGCTGGTTCCCCAGTTTGATAATTATGGTACCTCTTGCCATGACCTCAAAGCACATTTCTCTTCAGTCTTGTGCCCACAAAGCTCTGAGCTGCAACGTCACAAAGTTTCAGCCTGACTTCGTAAAATATCTCCTCTTTGCTTCTCCACATATTTGAAGCTCTCCAGGGGTATTCTGCATCACCGTAGTTTCTGAGAGATTCCCCAGTTTGTGGAGTAACAGCTGTCGAGTCTCTGGGGCTCCCAAGTAAGTTAGCCATAGAGGCTGTTTTAGAACCCCACTTCTGCCTCCCCTTTTCCATGGGCTGCAGCTCCTTTCCAGGAGCTTGTCTAAGGGGAGGGTGTGAGCCCACAGGCCTGGCCTCAGCCATCTTCCCTGGTATTTTTCAAGGAGTCCCCCTGAACCTGAATAGCTGCTCTGTTCCCTCAAAGTCTGGGACACTTGTTCAGGGCAGCTGACCTGTGTCTGTTTTCCTGACGGGAGAATATTGGTGAAGGAAGAAGCATGTGAGTCAGATCGAGAAGCGCTCATGGTGGCGTGTGAGCGTGCATGTGAGAGAGGCCAAGCACCCTCACGGGGCCCGATGGCCTAGATCCCCTTCTCCCATGTCTCCATGTTGGATCTCGCACATCCGTGCTTGTGCGCCGGGGGGCCAGGTGTTCACACTGCAGACCCACGAGGAGGTCCAGCTTCTCTCGAGCAGTGTGTGCCATTGTGCCATGGGCCGAGACGTCGGCTTGATGGCTCCTCTTAGGGTATTACGCTGGATATGAGAGACAGTCCTGGGACTTACTCAGTACGATGAATGAAGGCATTGGGTCGGCCAGTGGTTGAGGCTAGGAGACTTTTTTCTTAGACATTACCTGGTACAGTGGAAAATTTAACCACGAAGCAAGAGTCCAGCACTGAGCAGAGGCTGGTCTGGAGGCTCTCGTTTCTGTTTTCTGTGATTACCCACAGCCTTCCTACACGTGTTCTGGATGTGCGTGTGTAGGCCGGAGTGTGCTGAGCTGGGATCAGGCTGGCCCTCGGGCACGAAAGCTCGGATGGACTCTCTACGTCAGAGGAAGTCCTTTTCCTGCCAGACACACCTCACAGTCCCTCCTGTCACCGTGTGGCTTGGTCTGGATGCGTTCAGTCTGAGGGAGTGACGCTTCGTTTGCTCATTATTTATTCACTCCCCAGCCGTGTCCCAGGCACTGGGCTGGGTGCTCGGTGGAGAACTGAGCGCCAGGGGAGTGGAGCCTTTCCACGTGGGGATGCAGTCACGCGTTGTGGGTAGTGCTGAGAACCACAGGCCGTGTACGAGAGTGCCACGGAGGGAATGCAGTTCGCACCAGGTGGGGCGGAAGGAAGCCATGCAGCCACGTCCTGATGGAGAAGGGTCCGGCACGTGGAGGAAGCGTGACGAGTGCCCCGTGTATAAGCGAGTATCTCTCATGAGGGTCTGGAGTGGCAGCAGTCTCGGCATGCTGCAGACCCGAGGAGAGACCAGCAGGGCTGGGCGGTGGCGTGGGGCCAGGCGGGGAGGCGAGAGGGCCAGACGCTGCAGGACCCAGCCCTTGCTGGGAGATGGGCAGCCATGGCGGTTCCTGAGCTGCTCCTAGGTCCCGTGACTGGGTTGGCTTACAGAAAGTGGGCTCCCAAGGGCCAGGGTGGGGAGCGCAGGGTGAGCAAAGCGAGCTCTGTAGGGTCTCTCGGGAAAAGCACGTTTCTGGCGTCATTTCCTCCTTTATCTGACCGGAACCGCAGCTTCGTCCCCTCTTCTGAGATGTGCTTTGTGCTGCTTCATTATGCAGCCCCTCTCGGTGGTGGAGCGTCTTAGGTTAGGACCACGTGCCGTTCCACTTTGGCATCCCTGACACCCAGTAAGGTGCCTGCAGAGGCACTTATGTTCTGGGGCGTGCAGAAGGGGGCTTTGCTTTCAGTTAGGAGGAGGTGAGTCGTGTTAAGGGGCAGGATTTGGAGAGCAGGGTCTTGGGTTGCCTCTCATTCTCCTTGGTTATGTATTTCGATCATTCTCTGTTTTCTCACTTGGTTTCCTTCTTGTCTTTGCAGGATCAGTAAACCCAGAGCTGAGGACTCAGGCGAGTACCACTGTGTATACCACTTTGTCAGCGCTCCCAAAGCAAACGCCACCATCGAAGTCAAAGGTACAGCCCAGTGGAGGCCGCAGTGAAAGCCTCTCTCTCTCCTTCCGAGCTCCATGTGGTCTGGGCTGCTGGTGCTCAAGCTCTTCTTACTCCATTCAGACTGGCAAAATGTTCTGTTTCAGACCACCAGCCCAGGGGCCCAGGTGCTGGAGCCTGAATCCAAACCCCCTCCTCTGCTAGCTGCGTGCCCTTGGCGAGGCCTGACGTCTCCATGCCTCCGTTCCCCGTTTCTGAGACGGGCATGTCCGAGTGCTTACTTGTGGGTTCGTTAGGAAGCTGTGGATATGCGTCTAGCAGGTTGGACTGTGCAGTCCTGCCGCTTTGGTGTCGGTTCGACTGTCGGCACCTCGCGTGGCTCAGCCTCACAGAAGGTCCTCTGTTGGGGCCTTGCATGTGTACAGTCTCCCATTTGGCATTAGGACTTGGGAAGACACAGGATGCAGAGTGAGCCTAAGCTGTTTGTGGATAATTTATTAGAATTTTAATGGAAGTTCCTTGGGTACATGGCATCTTTTTTTTTTGTAGAGAGGTATTTGCTATAGGGCGTGTATGCTTGCTGGAGTAGAGAGACAGAGAGACAGAAAGTGAGAAATCACCCTCCAGCGGGGACGGCCACGCCGCATCCCTTCCCCTCAGTTCTTCTCTCAGGATTTTGGGCATGCATGCACACGCACCTGACCTGAGTTTTAAGCTGCCTGGTCTGGGACTCAAACTGTGGTTGACTACATGGAGTCCAGTGATGTAACCATTATGTCATTTGCTGATCCTGGTACGTGGCATCTCAAAGACAAGGCTTCCAGAAAAGGCAAGTGGGGCCAGCCTGGGGCCTAGTGGTTCAGGAAGCCAGATCCCACATGGCCAACTATGGTTCAGATCCCGGCCCCCCCGTGGCTAGAGAAATTGCCAGGCACGTGCATGTGTGCGCCTCAGGTCCCAGCAGGACGGACAAGGAGGAGCGGCGGGTGCTTTTTCCCTCTGGCAGTGAACAAGGGCAGATAGAACTATGGAGGTTACAGCTAGTCCGCGTCATCAGTCCCCACTTTCCCCTGAGTCCCAAGATGCAGCCGAGACCCAGGAAGGTGCCACGACTGCTCTGGCTCACGTGGGGCTTTGCAGCAGGGCTGCTTTTCAGCTCCCAGCCAGTGTTTTCTCCTCTGCCATAAAGTGACCACAGGAAAGTGGTGCTACTATTAGTTGTTGAAGTCGGACTGCAGAGAGGAGTTGCCGGTTTCCAGTCTTGTCCGTTTTCCTAAGGAAGAACACAGATTGAGAGATTCTTCCTCCTTCCCTCCCCCGCTTTCTTTTTCTTTCTCGTTAAATTTATGATAGCATTGTATGCATGTATATGAGAGAGGAAGAAAAGCACCTTCTACAGAGCTCAGTCATGCTGTGATCTCCTCCCAGCCCTCCAGGCCACGGACTCCCTCTTTAAACCACGGTGTTCTCCCTAGAAGCGGAGCTCATCTCAGAGAAGGCCCTTCATAGCCAGTGCTCAGGCTCCCACCTGCAGGTCGAGGGCTCACCTCAGATAAGGCCCCACATAGCCAGTGCTCAGGCCCCCACCTGCAGGTCGAGGGCGAAGAGGTAAGGCCCCCAGGGGAGGAACTGTGGTCCAGAAAGCACCGAGGCAAGAGGTGCACCGCCTCCCTGAGCTGCTCTGTGGTCCTCTGTGACAGAGGAGCAATGTCACGGGCTTCAGCTGTGGAGCACCCCCTGTTCTGAGCACGCGCTCTCGGCCCTCTCGGGCCTACGCTCAGATTACTGCTGGTTTCTGTCAGGCCCAGTCAGACAACCAGGTCCAACCCAGTTAACAGCACCCAACAGTGAATTACGCCTTCGTG